AAGTAGTAAAATAAGCGTTCGGCATTTAACTTTTTATGTAAAACTGGCTAGGTATTTTTACACAAATGAAGAAGGAAATTAAAGATAAAGGATTATACTATATCCGTATTGTGGCACATTTTTAGACAACTTCTTAATTCTTAAGATTTTGAGGGTCAAACATCAACAAAATACAGGGTGGTCCGAATTGTATTCCAAAAACTTCGGCAGCATATTCTGCAGATAAAAATAGGTAAAAAAGTTCGTATAAATGTATGTCCTAAAATGCTTAGTTTCGGAGATACAGGGTGTAAAAATTTCATTTTTATTTCGATTTTTTCCAAATAATTTCTGAAGTAACGTCAATATTTAGATGAAAATTGGTTTCTGGGAGTTTTTTGACGTGAGAAATTTGATTTTGATGTCAATATGACTCCTACTGGTAGAGGGCGCCACCTACATGTATTTTAACTGTTTTGAAGCGTAATAACTTTTTGTCCGTACCTGCATAAAACTACTGAGGGAAAAAATATACATCTCTGTGATTTTTTACGTAAGAAATATCTCTTTATAAAAATCGCTACGAGCAACCGTTCTCAAGATATTTAGAATGGAAATAGTCAATACCATGCCATTATTAACGAAAAATAAACACACGTTGAGTAGATAGTTATTTCACTTAAATAATAAATTTGGGAAATTTTTATTTTTTTAAATTATTCATATTTTTTCTGCGAAAAAATGATGACAAAACAGTTTTTGTTGAACTTTTGGTACAAAAACATTTCAAATTTATGATCTCAATCTAATAACTATTTAGTCAACATGTTTAATTTATGTCAGTGATGACAGGTATTGATAATTTCGATTCCAAATATCTCGAAAACCATTACTCGTAGCGATTTTTACCAGGAGACCTTTTTTACGTAAAAAGCGTCGTAAATGTAGTTTTATACAGGTAGGGGAAAGGGGGGCACTTTCGGCCATCGGGAACATTCGGCTACTCCAATTATTTCATAAACTGTTTTCAATTTAGCGCCAGTTTTGCTCGTAATCTGTCACTTATCATAAGTGTCCATTCGGCAGTTGAACATTGATGGTGTATAGGTGATAGAAAATATTTTGTGAAAAAAATTGGTTTTACAAGCGACAAGGTTAGATTTTTTTGCCCTGTATTTTCCCTTATAAGTTGTGCATTTTTTGTTCGATTGATCGATTGGTTTATAGGTCATATGTTAGTGGAGAAATCTCGCTTTTGATTTCTAACAAAATTATAACCTCAAAACCTCTGTTTACAATTTTTTCGTGTTCAAAACCTTATTTTGGTCGGGTGGGTAACATTCGGCTATGAAAGGTGGGTAACATTCTGCTATTAGAAATATCCGAGAAGGATGATATTGTTAATGGCAATTTTGTGCTCGTGAAATTCGTGGTTTTGAAGTCTGATATTTATTATATTGGGAAAGGGGACATCAAATAATTTTGTGTTTCCTTATGCTGAAGACATCGCCTTGATAGAAAAAAAGATATTGTTGCCCTTTTACCCCCTCCTATTATGCAAGGTACCTACTTCAAGAGTTGCGAATTTCCAGAAGTTTAATGTTAGTTTTCGGGGGTTTAACTATGCATTAATTATTTATTTAGTGACTAAGAACAAAAGATGTTTTGTTCAGCTAGTTTTAGTAGCGATATTATTATCATTTATCCTTAACAACCTTATGTTTTATCTTTATTTTGAAGTTTATTATAGAATTTAAGAAGTTTTATTCAGCTAATTTTAGTAGAAATATTATTATCACTTATCCTTAATAATCTTGTGTTTTAAGTCTATTTTGAATTTTGATGTTCTTTCCGAATATTAAAATATTTGTAACGTTATTTTTTTTTATTTTGTTATGCTTTAGACAAATATGAAACAATGCCGAATGTTCCCCACCACATAGCCGAAACTGCCCCACCAGTGCTGCCCCACCTGCACCCAGTACATTCAGCTAAATATCAAAAAAATTATAATCTTAAAATTTTGATATTTACACTTTACTTAAAACAAATTCGTAATAGACAACACTTCCATCACTTCCTATTAGTTTTTTCTAATTTTTTACTGTTTTGCCAAATTTGTTGCCCAAAGCTAAACATGCCGAAAGTGCCCCCCTTTCCCCTACGGACGAAAAGTTATTACTCTTCAAACTAGTTAAAAAATATGTAGGTGGCGCACTTTACTATAGTAAACGCCACGAATGTTTGGAAGTGATTCTTCGGTCGCTACCATGTGAACTAATCTGTTCAAGGTCACATAAAACTTAATTCCAGTGCCGTGGTGTTTCAAGTCATATAATAATCAATACATAATCTGTTGTTTTAACTGTCAAAGTCTTATCACAACATATATTTGGTTATAAATATGAAATGGAATGCCCCATTGGTCGCACTGCAAGCACACCAATGGACTGACGCACAAAAACGAATCAATCAAAGAAACGCGATATAGTATCGTCTTTGTCAATCACGCTAACATTTGAGAATAAGTAGGAGGAGCGCAGGCAGATGATTAGACCGGGCCATTAAAAACCTACGTCTGCGTTAAAAATTTACGTTTTTAATGTAAAAATGATAGCGCGCGTGTCGATTCTAACTTAATCAAGCGATGAATCACTCCCAAACATTCGTGGCGTTTATTATAGTAGGAGTCATATTGACATCAAAATCAAATTTATCATGTCAAAAAACTCCCAGACACCAATTTTAATCCAAATATTGACGTTACTGCAGAAATTATTTGGAAAAAATCGAAATAAAAATGAAACTTCTACACCCTGCATCTCCAAAACTAAGCATTTTTGGACATACATCTATACGAACATTTTTACTTATTTTTATCTGCAGAATATGCTGCCGAAGTTTCCGGTATATAGTTCGGACCACCCTGTATAATTTATATGGTTTTGTAACAAATTGCTCGCTCTGCAAACCTTAATCAAGTCTTAATCAAAGCACGTGTGTTGGGTGTGAATTTTGGGTGTGGCTTAACACGACATGATCGGGCTAAGCCTTAGGCAGATTTCTGAAATATAATATACAGGTGGTTTTAAAAAACATGTGCCATCTCTCGTGGGGAGATTCCTCACGAAAAAAATAAGATTTATTTTTTATATAAACATACACATAGGTCCGATTCTGCTTTGTTTCGCAGCTACAGGGTGTTGTTTTAATAATCTTTCGATTTATTATAATTTCCTTCCAAGTACTTTTAGTGATTCGTATGAAATTTTGAGGATAAAAATTGTTATACGTGCTACATATTTTAATGCTAAAAAGTGTCGATAAATTCATCAGGAACGTGCATATGGGTTATCACTGTAATATTTAAAAAAAATCATGTGCGCCACTGACTTTTTTCTTTTGATATCAGAATCGTGTAGGCCGTTTAATGCCAAGTAAAACTTATCTCTTGATGTTTTGTCGAATTTGGCCTCCTTGATGAAATAAACGCAATTTTATTAATCACAATTAATAAAAATAAAATTAATAAATTATATATTTTACCTAATTTATTATTAAATATTATTACTATTAGTTATTATTACTATTATTCCAACCTACAGCAATTTCAAATAAAAATAATTGGATCTAAGATAATTACAAAAAACTAATTTTAAAAAATTTTAACATCCTGTAACTCTAAAACTATGGATTTCCATACCCATGTTTATAGGAACTTTTTTTCATATTTTTTGATGAGGAATCAATGAGTACTTATTTAAAACTTTCGCATGTTAAGGATATTAAAAATTTTTAAATGTTGTGATTAGACGTGGTTTGATAAAGGCAAATTAATAAAATTGCTCGTAAAATTGCGTTTTCCGAAGGAAGCCGAAATCGATAAAATATCAAGAAACAACTTTTAATCGGCATTAAACTACTTATACTATTTCGCTAACAAGAGAAAAAAAAAATCAGTGGCGTACATGCTTTTTTTAGAAAAATATTACAATGATAACCCATATGCGCGTCCCTGGTGAATACGTGGACACTTTTTTCGCTTTAAAATATGTCGCATTTATAGTAACTTTTACCCTCAAAATTTCATTCGAAACGCTAAAAGTTCTTGGAAGAAATGTATAATAAATAGAAAAATTATTAAAACTTTAACACCCTGTTGCTACGAAACAAAGCAGAATCGGACTTATGCTGATATGAAAAATAAATCTTATTTTTATGTAAGGAATATCCCCATGAGAGTTGGCACATGTTTTTTGAAACGCCCTATACAGGGTGTCCCAGAAATAAGTGCAAATATTTTAACTGGTAGTATAGTTCAACCCCCGAAACACGTGTATGAGGTTTTTTTGCGAAAAAAAATTTTGAAAAATCGAAATTTTTTTAAATTTTTTTTAGTTAAAAAACGTAATTTCTTGATAAAATGGAAACATAGGTATTAGATTAAATTTACAAGAAAGAAAATCCAGAAAAGATCCAGTGGTTCTTAAAATTTTAGCAAAATTTTTTTTTTTGAAATTTTCAAAGTAAAATAAGCCCGTTATTTTGAACTTATTTGAAAAACGATACAGAGAAAATATGTTTCTTTTATCGAGATCTACCACCCCTTAAAATACTTCCACTTATTCCCGGGACACCCTGTATATTTCCATCGGCCACACACCCGCTTTACCCGACATCTGAGAACAGTTCAGCGTAATAGACCCGAACAGTTCAGCGTAATAGACTCTTAAATATACATATATGCGGTTCTACTTAAAATAAGCACATTGTCAGCCATTTCCATTTAAACAGGAAGTTAACGCTAACTTCTAACCTTTTTTTATATAAAACAACTGTTTTAAAGCTGTTCACACACAGAAATTCAATTTACCATCTTTGGAGTGGTAGATGGGGCTGTAGGTAAAAATTGTTTAGTTGTATTGTGGATGTTAGCATATTTTTTTAAATACAAATATCAATTCTACTTAAACTACTACTACTACTACTTTACTAAATATCAATTCTTTACTTTATTTCAGTTATCGCTTCGTTTAAACAACTATTCAAGATAACTAAAAACTATCGTGCTGGATTTTATAGAGGAGGCTCGCCTACCAATCTGAAAAATTCTCGAAATAAAAACAATCGATATCAAAAATGAGTACCCTGTAGTTGAAATAGAAATACTTCGTCCAGTTATAGATGACGATGATGGTATGATTGAAACCAAAGAAACTCGTGTTGGTACCGAAGACGAAGATTTATCAGCTAGTTCACAAAATAACGAAGAAGCTAGAGAAGAAACTCCTCTAAGTGATAGTAGTTCGTCAATTAAGATTGAAATTGGAACGAGAAGAACGAAAAAGCAGAAACATCTTTCTCCAGACTCTTTAGAGTTAAAGAGTTTTCTCAAGAGTAAAATTACAATTGGTGACGATCACTACTCTTATAACATTCGTAAAATAAAACAACAACGATACGGAGAACGTCATCATAAACACTCCAAAGAAACACTTTTTGTTTTTGGCCTTAAATTCTGACAAAATAGCTTCAAAGTCGAAAAGGGAAAAATTGTTTCAAAATTTTCCATCAGTTGTTCAGGATGTTCTGGAGGAGTTGTCATCTGGTCAGAATAATATATATATATATAAGGGTATAGTAGATATATTGTTGATCAATACCGATGAAGGTGATGTCAGAGGCGAATTGATGGAAGCACTTGAGAACTGCAATTTTATTGAAGTAAGTTAACATATTTTTTATGAACGTTTTAGGTATGTTTTGTTAGAAACTATTTTAGTTTTCTATTTAACGAATTAACTAATTACTTTTGAATTGTATTGAAATTTAATAACGCAAAAATAAATAGAAATTAACACTGCATAATGTAGGTTTATTTTATAATTAATATTTTTTAATACGAATATAATTTTTTTATAAAATTTCTACAGTGTTGCAGAAAAGTCTCCAAAACATATCTACTCATAATTTTTTAGATAAACAAAAATTTAACTGCGATACGTAATTTCACCTGTTCTGATAATAAAAAATGATGCTTAAGGTACGTTCTTACTGACACTGTATTTATTTTTTACAGCGCAAAGGGGAGGCCTTTTCGGGTAACGGCTACCGCCAAGAAACGAAAAAGTACCGAACAAAAAATCCAACACTTCCAACGTGGCGATACAAACAAAAAAGCTAAACAAACTTTTTACTCCGAAAAGGCTAATAGTAAAGCAGCTGAAGCATTCTAACCAAAAATGGGAAACCCATGTATTTTATGTATTTTATGTATTTTATGTATTTTATGTATTTTATGTATTTTATGTATTTTATGTATTTTATGTATTTTATGTATTTTATGTATTTTATGTATTTTATGTATTTTATGTATTTTATGTATTTTATGTATTTTATGTATTTTATGTATTTTATGTATTTTATGTATTTTATGTATTTTATGTATTTTATGTATTTTATGTATTTTATGTATTTTATGTATTCTATGTATTCTATGTATTCTATGTATTCTATGTATTCTATGTATTCTATGTATTCTATGTATTCTATGTATTCTATGTATTCTATGTATTCTATGTATTCTATGTATTCTATGTATTCTATGTATTCTATGTATTCTATGTATTCTATGTATTCTATGTATTCTATGTATTCTATGTATTCTATGTATTCTATGTATTCTATGTATTCTATGTATTCTATGTATTCTATGTATTCTATGTATTTTATGTATTTTATGTATTTTATGTATTTTATGTATTTTATGTATTTTATGTATTTTATGTATTTTATGTATTTTATGTATTTTATGTATTTTATGTATTTTATGTATTTTATGTATTTTATGTATTTTATGTATCTTATGTATCTTATGTATTTTATGTATTTTATGTATTTTATGTATTTTATGTATTTTATGTATTTTATGTATTTTATGTATTTTATGTATTTTATGTATTTTTATGTATTTTATGTATTTTATGTATTTTATGTATTTTATGTATTCTATGTATTCTATGTATTCTATGTATTCTATGTATTCTATGTATTCTATGTATTCTATGTATTCTATGTATTCTATGTATTCTATGTATTCTATGTATTCTATGTATTCTATGTATTCTATGTATTCTATGTATTCTATGTATTCTATGTATTCTATGTATTCTATGTATTCTATGTATTCTATGTATTCTATGTATTCTATGTATTCTATGTATTCTATGTATTCTATGTATTCTATGTATTCTATGTATTCTATGTATTCTATGTATTTTTTATGTATTTTATGTATTTTTATGTATTTTATGTATTTTATGTATTTTATGTATTTTATGTATTTTATGTATTTTATGTATTTTATGTATTTTATGTATTTTATGTATTTTATGTATTTTATGTATTTTATGTATTTTATGTATTTTATGTATTTTATGTATTTTATGTATTTTATGTATTTATGTATTTTATGTATTTTATGTATTTTATGTATTTTATGTATTTTATGTATTTTATGTATTTTATGTATTTTATGTATTTTATGTATTTTATGTATTTTATGTATTTTATGTATTTTATGTATTTTATGTATTTTATGCGCTGGTAATTGCACTTCTCTGGAAGATATCCAGATATCCAGCGCCGACACACAACTTATAAACATAAGTTGGTGTCGGTTATGCTGGATGAAATCCAGAAAAGCATTGCTGCCATTAAGGAGGAAGTGGTCACAATAATATTATTTATAAGGATAGTAGATATATTGTTGATAAATACCGATGAAGGTGATGTCAGAGGCGAATTGATGGAACCACTTGAGAACTGCAATTTTATTAAAGTAAGTTAACATATTTTTTATGATCGTATTATAAAATGTTTTGTTAGAAAAAACTATTTTAGTTTTCTAGGTACCGAATTAACTAATTACTTTTGAATTTTATTGAAATTTAATAACGTAAAAATAAATAGAAATTAACACTGCATAATGTAGGTTTATTTTATAATTAATATTTTTTAAAACTAATATATTCTTTTAGAGTGTTGCAGAAAAGTTTGCAACACATATCTACTCATCATTTTTTATTAGATAAACAAAAACTTAATTGCGATACGTAATTTCATTAGTTCTGATAATAAAAAAAATTGATGCGTACCGGGTGGCCAACTAAGAATGGACGCCGGCTGTATCTCAGAAACTACTTATCGTATAACTCTGGGAAAAAAATTCTAATAAGTAAATCGACCAAGAGAAATCGCTGGAAATTATTTTCAAGTTCCAAAAATGTCGTTTCTAGACGGCGTTTCTCTAATAGCCATTCAGAAAACAGGGTTTTTCTCAAAGATATGCAGGTGAACAGGTATTTTAAATATTATTATTGTAATCATCGAGAATTTTTTTTGGTATAGAGTGTTTTGCTCTATCTCATAAAATAAAGTGGTGGGGGAAGGTTAAACTTGCTTTTATTTAAACAAGGATAACTCTGGTTTGGGTTAGCCGATTTAAACAAACTAGGGATCGTTTAAAAGAGCTCTTCTTCCTTCATCATCTCCAGTATAAATTTTGTTTTCATAATTTTTTTCGTGGTAGCTAGAGGGTGCTGTTTGACATCATAACAGATATTGCGCTTTTGCATAAAAAATTTAAATAGTAGGTTATTTTTTTGCACAGTAGGTTATTTTTTGCATATTTGCACAGATAAATAGAGCACTAAGCCTAACATGACTTGTTCTCGTAATATCTCCGGTCCAAGAGAATATAGCAAGTTGCGGTTTGCGCTGATATTTTGGAAATTTTGTGCTCTATTTAACTGTGCAAAGAGACATATAGCCTCTTATTTTAATTTTTTTATACAAAAGCGCAATATCTGTTATCATGTTAAACAGCGCCCTCTAGCTACCACGAAAAAAATTATGGCAACAAAATTTATACTGGAGATCGTTAAGGAAGAAAGGCTCTTTTAAACGAGCCATAGTTTGTATAAATCAGCTAACCCAAACCAGAGTTATTCTTATTTTAATAAAAGCAAGTTTAACCTTCCCCCACCACTTTTTTATATAGAGCAAAACACTCTACCGGGTGCGTCTCAAAAGTGGCTCTCCCCTATAACTTCTATATTTTTTCAGATAAATAGACGAGATTTGGTATGTTAGTATATGACATAAATTAGGATTGATTGGTGTATCCAATTGTTTTTGGTCACTTCCGGTTTCACCGGAAATGACTACAACTTTTGATTTTTAAATGGCACCCTCGGTATTTTTTTCTTTATTCGATAGAAAATGACATTCTGAATAGAATGACATATCATATGTCAACATTTGACATTCTCGCTTAATAAAAAATTGTATTTTAAACTTCAATCTAGGGTGCTATGGCTACGTTAAAAATACTAATTCTTCATCAAGGAGCCTTGGAAAAATAGATTCGATCGTCTAATGTTTTTAGTGTCTTGTCCTGGCCAATTAGAAAATGCTCTAATCGTATTTTTAATCATATCTCAATTTTTTCAAATGGAACGAGTGTGGCTCATTAGCATATTTAGAAAAAGCATTTTATTACGAATAATTTGATACCACACACTTGGTATTTCAAGTCAAATTTTCGTTACGAACCGCAAGATTTAATTTCAAATAAACCATATGCGAAAATGTCAAAAGTTGACATATGATATGTCATTCTATTCAGAGTGACATTTTCTATCAAATAAAGTAAAAAACTACCGGGGGTGCCATTTAACAATCAAAAGTTGTGGTCATTTCCGTTGAAACCGGAAGTGACCGAAAACAATCCTAATTTATGTCATATACTAACATACCAAATCTCGTTTTTTTTAACTAAAAAAAAAGAAGTTATAGAGGTGAGCCGGTATTGAAACGCACCCAGTATATCAAAAGAAATACAAATTTCTCGATGATTACAACAATATTTAAAATACCTGTTCATGCAGGTGAATTTTTGAGAAAATCCCTGTTTTCTGATTGGCTATCAGAGAAACGCCCACTAGTGCACATTTTTCAAACTTGAAAATAATTTCCAGCGATTTACTTATTAGAATTTTTTTTTCCCAAAGTAATACAATAAGTAGTTTCTTAGATACAGCCGGCGTTCATTCTTAGTTGGCCACACGGAACTTACACAGTATTTATTTATTTTTACAGCCTGAAGGAGAGGCCTGTTCCGGCAACGGCTACCGCCAAGAAGCCCAAAAGTACCTCCAGAAACATATTAGCTTATGCAAACAAGCTCGACAATACTTTAAACGTGGCAACACCGAGATCCCTATTTTTTTCTGGTTTGGCGGGCATTCAAACTATTTACTATCAACGGGCCAAGAGTAGAGCAGCTACAGAAATTTTGAAAGAGAATTCAAAGAGAGTACAAGATTTCAATACGCTGGATCTGCACTTCTTGTATGTTAAAGAAGCGCTGCCTTCGTTAGACGATTTCTTGGACAAAAACATTATCCTTCTAAGACACTGTGCGTTAAAAAGTACAGATTTGAAGATAATCACTGGCTGGGGGAATAACAATTCTGGCAAACCAAGGCTAAAACCTGCGGTTCAAGGTCACTTCAGGAAACGCCATCTACCGTAAGCATTTTATTTTTATTTTAAGTATTTTTTAAGTAAAAGAGTATAATATTTTAAGTTAATAAAATTATATAAGAATTCTTGCCACTTAACTGTTGATATAGAAATTTAATTCCACGCTGTGTCTGTCATAATGTGGATCAACCTGCTTTCACTACCGGTTTCGGAGCCCTACTCAATCATCAGGTGAGCTTGGGTAGATCCACAAAATGACAACCACAGCGCAAAGTAGTTAATTCCGACTTGTCGGAAAGTATCGGTTAGATATTAAGTCCCGAACGGAAGATAGCGGCCTTCATGCAATGGTAGTACTTTTGTACCACCGAGGCGCAACTATCGATAGTAAAAGGATGGTAAAAGGCTTTTTTTCAGGCAAGCCAAATTATAAAATAGGAAACAAATTTCATGCAGTATAAGTTGTAGATACCATTGCACACAGGCCGCTATCTCCCGTTCGGGACTTAATATCTAACCGATACTTTCCGACAAGTCGGAATTAACTACTCTGCGCTGCGGTTGTCATTTTGTGGATCTACCCAAGCTCACCTGATAATGGAGTAGGGCCCCGAAACCGGTAGTGAGAGCAGGTTGATCCACATTATGACGAACACAGCGTGGAATTAATTTCTATGTTAGCAATTCAAGGCAAGAAACTCTTATATAATCTCATAATTTTTTAAATAAACAAAAGTTTAACTGCGATACGTAATTTCATCTGTTCTGATAATAAAAAAAATGATGCTTACTTTCTTACTGACACTGTATTTATTTTTTAAAGCTCGAAGGGGAGGCCTTTTCGGGTAACGGCTACCGCCAAGAAGCGAAAAAGTACTGCCAAAAATGTACGAGTTTGCACACAAAATCTCGACAGTACTTTCAACGCGGCGAAACTAACATCGGCAGGTTTTATTCAACTTTAGCAGCCAAACAGATTGTTTACACCGAAATGGCCAATAGTAGAGCAGCCGAAGCATTCCTGAAAGAGAATGCACAGGGATTGAAAGACCCTGTGCATACAATCGACCTTCACTTCCTCTACGTCAAAGAGGCTTTAAAATCGGTAGATAATTTTTTGGACACTAACATTAGCATTCTTAGACGGAGGTCACCTAAAGCAAAACACCTAAAAATAATTACCGGCAGAGGGAACAATAGCGAGGGGCCACCCAAGTTAAAACCTGCAGTTCAAGGCCACTTGGTGGCATCACGTCATCTAAAGTAAGCATTTTATTACTCTTTTAAGTATTTCTTCTAGCGTTTTTATTTGACAAATTAATGTAAAAGGGTAAAATAATTTAAGTTATTGTCAATGAAGTTTTCTAGATGTTTATCCGTCAATATACCCATACCGTCTAATGTAGCTTAACTGCGGTATTCGAACCGAGCTCACCGTAGCAGAAGGATACATTTAAAAAACTTTTTACCACTGTTTTCGATTCTCGATTACAATGATATTATCCTTGTATATATATTTTTAAAGTAGATCAACCTAAGACGTTTATGGACTAAGACTACTAGATGGCAGGACCGGTTTCCCTACAGAAAAATATTTTTTGTTACTCTGAATTTTGAAGCTACCAATAAAAACAGAGAAAATAAAAATCGATAATTTTCAGACTGTGCCAATTGGTTACTAATCGACCAGATGCTTTTTGTCTATTAGATATGCTATAAAAGCTGGCAATTATACAATTCGACCATTGTAAATACCCGACAAATTCTTCAAGGCCGACAAGGCCGATGCTTCTCACTGATAAGAAAAAAAATGTTTGTTTAGATAATTTTCGAGGTATTTTTTTTCTTTCTGAATGCACATTTTAAAGTATTTTATATTCTTTTTCCCCTTGACCTATTTTCCTGGTTGCACGTATGGAAGTTCTGTTTCTTCTAGTTTTAGAAAATGTTCTTATTTCTTTGTAGTTGTAGTGTAAAATTAGATTAATTTATTAAGTTTAATTATGGTGTTTAGCGTAGCATGTTAGTGTAGTCTACCACAAATAGTTTTGTAGTGTTTTTATAGTTTATTTTGTAGTTAAGTAGTAGGTGAAGGGATAATTTTGTTATTTTTTCTTTTTGTTTGATAATTTGTTCAGTGTAGAATACAAGAATAAGTAGTTGTGTAGTGTTTTTAAGAGATTATATTCGTTTATGTTGTAGTTGAGTAGTAGGTGAAGGGGTATTTGGGTATTTCTTCTTTTTGTTTTTCTTGTAATAATTGTAGTAGTTCTATTAAGTATTGTGATAGATACATTATATCTTTCTTCAACTTCGTTGAAAAGTGCGTTATCATATAATCTTGGTTTTCTGGTAGCAGAATATAGGAAAAAAAATCTGATCAAATTTATTTGAAATTAAATTAATCTAGCCTTATTAATCAAATTAAACTAATCAAATAATAATAATAGTTTCAAAATACTATACAGGGTGAGTTTCCTACGATGGGTATCTTGGAAACTACTGGAGATAGAGAGTCGGTTAATGGGGAAAGAATTGCAGTTTTGTGGGGTCATAAATATGCGCCTTTCGGATTTTTGAAAAAGTTTATCGCCTACTAGATATTTCGAAAAAAAAAACAAATTTTGGCTATTTTAAAACTTGTACCTAATTCCATTATAATCTATTTTAGACAAAAAGTTGTAGATAATCACATACCTCATGAGTTTGTGTTTTTTGATTTTTTCTAAAGCCTGTAATTTTTTACCATAGTTGGCCATGACTTCATAAAAATCGCCAATTTTAAGCTTTTCGGCGATATAGGTATATATGTTTTTTTCAAAAAATTACAGTTAGATACAGAGTTATAGTTATAGCCAATTCTTTTCTTTCTTGGCTAATTTCACTTAGTTAGCATGGTATTCTTACTCTGTTATGATTTATAACATGAAAACATAGAATATATTATTAAATGGTTCTTTACGATTTACATTACTCAAACTAAAACTTCATAATATCACTACCCCATATACTTAAGTTATTTTAGAAAATGTTCTCCCGTACCGCCTCTTCGAGGGGGCCCATGCAACTGGTCCACCTCTTCCGATCCCTGAGTTTGCATAATTGTGATATAAATAATTTTTAGGAGGGTATATTATTACATTACTCTGAGGAAAATAACGAGAATAATCGATATTTTTGATTCCGCCCCGAAAGGTTCACGATTTGTCCTCCAGCTGGCAGCAGATTTTGTCGAGCCGGTTGGTCAACTTAAAGAATATATAAACAAGGATATTATATATAAACTTGGTGAAACGATAATTCATAAATAAACATACAAAAGGAAAAAAAAATACAAATTACAAAAACACTAGAAATTCAAACTGATCATAAATATAGTATATAATATATGTAATTATTAACCTTTTCTTTGCTTTATTATTTTTAGGACTACAACCAGAATAATAACAACAAGAACCTTGAAAACTAGAAAGTGTGAGTACAGGTACAATTATTTTTAGTAAGCCTCTTCTCATTTTAACTATCATTGTTTCTTAAGTCTTAAACATTGTTTGTTCTATTTTTTTAAAAGCTTTTATGTTATGATTTTTATTTTTATGTATTGCATGTATTTTTAGGTATTTTATGTATTTTATATATTTTATGTATTTTATGTATCTTACGTATCTTACGTATCTTATGTATCTTATGTATCTTATGTATCTTATGTATCTTATCTACCTTATGTACCTTATGTACCTTATGTACCTTATGTACCTTATGTATCTTATGTATCTTATGTATCTTATGTATCTTATGTATCTTATGTATCTTATGTATCTTATGTATCTTATGTATCTTATGTATCTTATGTACCTTATGTATCTTATGTATCTTATGTATCTTATGTATCTTATGTATCTTATGTATCTTATGTATCTTATGTATCTTATGTATCTTATGTATCTTATGTATCTTATGTATCTTATGTATCTTATGTATCTTATGTATCTTATGTATCTTATGTATCTTATGTATCTTATGTATCTTATGTATCTTATGTATCTTATGTATCTTATGTATCTCATGTATCTTATGTATCTTATGTATCTTATGTATCTTATGTATCTTATGTATCTTATGTATCTTATGTATCTTATGTATCTTATGTATCTTATGTATCTTATGTATCTTATGTATCTTATGTATCTTATGTATCTTATGTATCTTATGTATCTTATGTATCTTATGTATCTTATGTATCTTATGTATCTTATGTATCTTATGTATCTTATGTATCTTATGTATCTTATGTATCTTATGTATCTTATGTATCTTATGTATCTTATGTATCTTATGTATCTTATGTATCTTATGTATCTTATGTATCTTATGTATTTTATGTATCTTATGTATCTCGTGTATCTCATGTATCTTATGTATCTTATGTATCTTATGTATCTTATGTATCTTATGTATCTTATGTATCTTATGTATCTTATGTATCTTATGTATCTTATGTATCTCATGTATCTTATGTATCTTATGTATCTTATGTATCTTATGTATCTTATGTATCTTATGTATCTTATGTATCTTATGTATCTTATGTATCTTATGTATCTTATGTATCTTATGTATCTCATGTATCTTATGTATCTCGCGTATCTTATGTATCTCATGTATCTTACGTATCTCGTGTGTCTTATGTATCTCGTGTGTCTTATGTATCTCATGTATCTTATGTCTCATGTATTTTATGTATCTCATGTATCTCATGTATCTTATGTATCTTATGTATCTTATGGATCTTATGTACCTTATGTATCTTATGTATCTCATGTATCTTATGTATCTTATGCATTTTATGTATCTTATGTATCGTATGTATCTTATGTGTCGTATGTATAATGTGTAATGACCACCTATTTTTTCTCGTTGCACGAGTAAGGGTGTTTCTCAAATGTTTTATAAGTGTACGTGCCTTGATCACTCCACTTCTCTACATGACCATCCACATAATTGATTTTTTACAGGAATATAATAATATTATTAAATTGACATGCGACAGCCCCGTTCGCCATCTACAGATCATTTTTATAATTTTCTTCACTTTTAACATTTGACCGGTGACAGCTGGATGTCACAGTTGTCGTCTGTCGGTTGCTTTGCGCCTTCACGCCTTAGATTGAGAGGGAATTGAATGTTTTAAATAAATACAAAGGCTTAACCGCCTCAAGAGAGCCCTCTCTTTTTTGTGGTTGACTGATCAGCGATGCTTCACGGTGGAGTTTTCAATACAAGCCAATTTTTTAATGTAGTTTTTTATGAAGGTCTCTTGTACCACGTTTAGTATGTTTTTTCGTCTTAACTTTTATAGCAATAATTGTATAACAATTGTATAACATTTCAGTGTCCTGAGGAAGGAATGAATAAATTCCGAAAGCTTGACAATTAACAAAGTGTATTAATTCTATGTTAAACCCTTACGACTGCAACCCCACTAGTTCCTAGATTTTCTTTCTCACTAGCCAGTCGAGACTACTTTCTGCTTATATATTTTATTTTTTTCTGCTTATATATTAAATGATGCATTTTAATGTCAAATATTTATAACTGGAAAAATAAATGGACCTTCAGAATTCAGAAAACAGTCTGGCACATCCAAAGTGGTGGAAAGCCAGTCTGGCTTAAAATTTGCGGATGCAAAAATTTTACAGATTTTTGAAATCCATAACCCTTATTTTCCCATGCTTGAAATTTAACGTATAATTTGATACCATCATAAACTATAATCAAAAGCAAGTCTGGCTGATTTACGAAATTGGCAAATTTTTGCTCTTATTATCCCAGATTTGGAAAAAAATGCCACATGATAAATAATAGTACCATAATTTAATAGAAAATACACGTCTGGCAGTCATTTACAATCAAGAAAGCCCCGCCAGATTCACAAGTTAGGTCGTACATTTCGTATATTTAGATGCGAAAATTTCTGACACTGCAATTTCGTGATTTTCAATACAGTAAAATCGAGAAACACATTACTCTTAATTTCAAAAACCGCTCTAGACCCAAACACATTCATTTGATGAGAAGTTTAGGACAAGGCACTTGACCGGATTTTTTTATTGCTACAACTGAAAAACTAATGGAAATACAAAATAAAATCAAGAGATCAATTTTCTAGAGAATAAAATTTCCTACCACAAGTATTTGAAAATTTAATAATACAACTTTCTTAAATCTCTAATAATTCTAAAATATAATAATAAATAATTCTAATAAATAATCTCTTAATCTCAAATAATTAATACCATAATACCAGACGTAAAAGTATCTAATAATTAAGATATCAATGGCAGTGAATAAGAAACGACGCCTCAGTGAAGTCATGGTAGGCTTTGGAAAAAAGTTGCTTTTGACGTAATAGTATAAACGTCAAATTGTTATTAGATCAATATTTTGATAGTCTTAGCAGCGTTTTTTCTCTTTTAAATAAAAAAACGCTGCTTAGACTGTCAAAATGTCGATATAATAATATTTTGATGTCTAAACTATCCCTTTAAAAGCAATGTTTTTCCAAAGCCTACCATGAGGCGTCATTTCTTGTTCACTGTCATTGATATCTTAATTATTAAATATTAATATACCTAGTATTTGGTATTTTGATACATTGTAGATTCTTTGAATAAAATAATCTTTATTATCTTATTTTTTTATTAGAATGGTCATAATTAGGAGGGCTAGAGATACCATGTTAGAAAAATAAGGTAATTACACTGAAAAAAATATTGTTCATAATATTAATGAACATTGATTATTAACTGTTGTTTCATTGGGACAATCATTTTTTTCATTACTATAATGATTTGATAATCATAGATCGATGTCCGATTTATTAATACTATGAATCAAATTTCATCAATATAATGAAAATCTGGTTATTAAATTAATGTAAGATTTTCATTAATATAATGAAATTATTTTAGTGCTGAAACTTTAATAAACACATATTCATTATATTAATATACTAAATCATTGATTAATGAGTTGTACATTGTGACAATGAACAATGTTGTTAATACAACGAACACACACTACATTATATATATGTACACGGTTATTAATATCATGAATAAAATATTAGGGCTTAAATGTCCGCCATGTTGATCGGTTACTTTGGCACTTTAATAACGTCTGTGTGGTTGAGTTATTCAGTGAGGCTTTAGTTTCATTAGAGCGGTAAGTGTTCTCTTCAATATTTTAAATATTTTAAATAAAAGTTCTATCGTATTGTAGTTAATTTGTTGTGTTGTCAAATCAAATTCCGCTGTGTGAGATCTCTGGTGTGGGTATTCATTAAAACAGCGGTTTCCAAATATGTTTCAGAAGATAAAAACAAAAAGAAGAAAAACATAGTAACAAGTCGAGGCATGGAACTGATTATGGTAAATTCGAGTGTTCTTTTAATATTTGGCATTTTAATTATTTTGATATATGTCTTTTAGAACCGGAAGATGTTGAGACCAGCCTTCAAGCCCTCAAATTCGACAATTTAACATCGTACCCACTTGATGCGACTTGAAAAGCCTGTTGCAAATTCGTCTAGACGTTATCAAGTCTAAGGATACAGCTAATATAATGAAGAAATGGTCTTTTTATAGAAATCCCTCAGGATATCGACTGGTAAATTAATTTTCTTATTATAATTTACCCTCAAATTAATAATAACATTACTATTCTCTTCGTCGATTCGATTTTTTAAATTTTTATTTGTATATTATGCTATATCGAGTTTAATAAATTATTATTAGTTTATTGCACTTGTTTTTTTATTAATAATCCCTAATGGAAAAATTTACTGTGCTCGTAAGTAAGTCGGCATTATTAGTAATTTTGTTACCTTTGTAGCTAAGGGCTTGTTCAAATGGAAATCTATTTATAGTAGAATTATTTTAGGTAGTTGGCTGGGAAATGACTATCAATGACATTTCATATCAATGACAGCGATCTTCATCATCGATTATACGGTGTAACAAGAGTTACTAATAGTGTCGACTTTTAAATGTATAACTAAATAGGTTATGAAATTATTTCATGGTATTAATGATAACGGTTCATTAATACAATTAAATAAATTTCATTGTATTAATGATACGGTTCATTAATACAATGAAATTATTTCATTGTATTAATGATACGGTTCATTAATATAAGGATTTAGGTACATTATATTAATGAAATCTGTTCATTGTACCAATGAATGTGTTCTTCAAATTAATGAACACTGTTCATTGATTTAATGAACTTAAAGTTCATAGAGTTAATGAATTACTTTTCATTGTGCCAATGAAATCGTTCATCGGCTCAAAATTAATGATTTAATTCATTATATTAATGAACTTTTTCATTATATTTATGTCGACTTTTGGTTCAGTGTAAGGGCTTATTTTTTCGTATTTATTATAATTTTGCTAATAACTTTGGTTTGAAAAAAGATATCAAGATGCGGGTTTCGCTAACTTTTTAAGCTCTTATTACTTTTAACTATCAGCTAAAATTACCTATACTAACGCATTTATTTTTTTTTTTGAAAAAAACGTGCAATGTTTGGTAA